TTCTTCTTGAGTCACACTTTAACGCTGTCGGTTATTCCTATAATATTCGTGACTGTTTTTATATGGGCACACGTGTTTGTGTCACTTACCCTATTGACCACATATCTTCTGCTTACATTTATCTGGCTATAAATATTGAGTCACGCTTTCTCAAATGGAGTCAGCAAATTAGCCTCCTATGCTTTGCTTTTCTTTCCCACTCCTCATTCCTAATTCCTGTCTAAATAAGTGAGTACCTAAAATAAATTTATCCAACTCAATTCGTATTTGGCTTCTTATTACCACCGTAGCACAAACAGCGTTATCCTAGGTGTGATAAACGAAGTCAAGTAGATGGTTTATATTCATGGCGTATTCATTCGTTCTTCCTAATCAGAATTATATCAACGGCCTACAAGAGATGAAAACTCCTGAAGAGTGCTAAACTAGAACGAAACGTCTGTTCATTGATTTCAGGTTCTCGATTGTTTCACAACTTAAATCAGTTAGTGATCTCAATAACACAATCAAGTCGATGAATAACATATTATTCTTTTGTATTTTGTATTATTGTTTGGTGCCAATAAACAAATAGATAGCAAAATTCTACCAAGTATACTGATCATTTTTAGTTCGTAATATAAACAATTAACTGTTTTTACCATCCTATCAATCATGATCTAATAAGTTTTATCTGATAAGCAATTCGTGGTCACAAGTCAAATTAATTTTAATGAAATGGTTTCAATGCTTGTAATATTGTAGCTTTCTTTATTATCATAACGTGTTAAATAAAACAAGAAACCTGTAGTTTATATCACTGATTGATAGCAGCACAACCATTTAGTTATTGTAAGAAGCCGTGTTAAGTGGATTGTAAGACAATGGAACTGAAACATGGTTGTTCATCACAATAACTTAATTGAACTAAGACATGTAAACCACTAGATCGTGGATCATAGCTGAAGTTTCTGGGTTCCATCGCAGAATCACATACTAGTACGAAAGAGCTTTACAGTGCTTAAGAAATTTTCAGCGGTTGTCTACATGAAGTCAGTTTATCATGTAAACTATAAAGTGCAAGGAATTCCACGAACTCCCTTATTAAAAACATGAATCAGTTTACACTATATCATCAAGAAACATTTGAGTAAATATGTGTTTCGTTTAAAACGGACAACTAATATAAATTTATGAGTTTTAAGCTAATGATAAATTAGCACAGTGTCTCATTACAGTTCATTGTTTTTGGATGCTCAAATTCCACACTTTATCATCAAGTTAACCAACCAGAATTATATCTGGAATGATCTATCTGAGAAGTTAAAGTTTGGGACAAACGATAGTGATCTTTGAAATCTTTACAAACTACTCAACTTATTCAAAATCGTTGAAGATCTAGTAACACTTCTGCACCAAAGTAGATTAAGCTCGAACTTATTTCTGATAACTGGATGTAATCAACAGAGAGCCGACAATCTAAGACTTATGTTTACTGAAATTCATAAACAGAGATTTTCGTAACCTTTAAGAAATCCGTACCAACCACCCGGGTCTTAACTAATAGGTACCGTAATATTACTCACCTTACACTAATAAAATCACGTAACCTACATTTTTTCTGAGCATAAACATTTCACAGATTGATTATTTATACCTTTACAGTATTTTCATTGGATTATATCTCGGGAAAAACAGTGTCTGATGACGTCATCCTTCAGCTGGTTTCAACTACCAAAACAGATTTTTGTTGGTTTATTTCTTGAAATAATTGGCATTTTAACATCACATACCCAGTTAGGCATGCCGCGTAGGGTTCTGAATTACTGATCTAAATAGATCAACGAACCATGTTCAGGCAGCTTACAATTTTTCTTTAAACATCTCGAAACGATAGTTAATGAATGAACGTTTGGTCACTCATAACATTTTCTAGTTTAATCCTATTGAAACCAGTATCACGAATCAAATCTGATGAATCCTTGACTGTCGTAATACCCACTCTAGTTATTTCAGCTGAAGCGAATTCCCCGTCTCACTTCATAATGTATCCTACTTGTCTAAACTAGACATAATTCACTCAATAGTCCCATTACTCACAAACAATGATCTTGTACTTATAACCTCAGCATGTCTTTTATTCTGGATGGTTACATCTCACGGCCCTAAAGTGGCAAAGATTAGAAGACGATTTACTTCACATAAAATTTTATCCAAGATGTGGATTCCAGAGGAAAGGGAAATGGATCTAGGTCTATTTTTATGTGTGTAGCTTTATAATGACCATGTACACTAATACATCTAAATGTTGAGGAAGTAAAGTACCAAAAAGTCTATACATTACTTACTTACTTACTTACGCCTGTTACTCCTAATGGAGCATAGGCCACCGACCAGCATTCTCCAACCCACTCTGTCATGGGCCTTCTTTTCTAGTTCCATCCAATTCTTGGTCACTTTTCTCATGTCTATCTCCATCTACCGGAGTAATGTGTTCTTTGGTCTTCCTCTTTTCCTTTGACCTTCAGGATTCCATGTGAGGGCTTGCGTTGTGAAGCAATTCGGTGCTTTGCTCAATGTGTGTCCTATCCACTTCCAGCGCTTCTTCCTGATTTCTTCCCCCACTGGTATATGGTTTGTTCTCTCTCACAGTACGTTGTTGCTAATAGTGTCTGGCCAACGGATCTGAAGTATTTTGCGTAGACAACTGTTAATAAACACCTGTATTTTATGGATGATGGCTTTTGTAGTTCTCCAGGTTTCTGCCCCATACCCTAGAACCGTCTTGATATTTGTATTGAAAATCCTGACCTTGGTGTTGGTTGACAGTTGCTTTGAGTTCCAGATGTTCCTCAGTTGTAAATATACTGCTCTTGCTTTGCCGATCCGCGCCTTCACATCTGCATCAGATCCACCCTGTTCATTAAGGCAAATTAATTATCCTATAGTTCTACGTTTCCATAGGCAATCTACCTAATGTTGATTTATAATGAAAATCATCTTCGGAAATCTTTCAAGTATTTTACAATGGAGACTTTGTAAACTAACAAAGATCCACAGAACTAATGAATTCAAAATAATTCTTTGTGTATAATCATTCGCAGATATCTTTCTTATGCAAAGAGCTAACTTCATTGTTAAAAAGTAGTGTATTACTTTTAAATTTCAATTTCAGATATACTTAATTTGACACAGTAGCTGGTATAATGATATAGAGTCCTTAGGCTAATCAAATTTAACTGACTATGTTGCATTGTGGCGACTGGTCTAGTCTGTTAGACAGTAATGTGAACTATCTACTAATGGTAAGCAGATGAATATAGGTAACACTACACCAAGATTTTGTGCTACATGTCACCCGTTGTCCTGTAATATTTAAAGAATTTATTCATCCATAAGATTTCAAATACTCTTATTAACTCAGTAGTTAGTTTCGTAAGCTTGAAGAAGTTAATCTTCATTTAGGTTAGATCATTCAAAACTATATAGCACATGCTGGTATATAGAAGATTAATAATACATTTCAAGGTGCACCAGTAAGAATTCAAGGAAAGATGTTAGAAGTGAATAAGAAATACATTGAGGAAATCACTAAACTGCAACATCAAGTAATCCCTAACTTGGAATCCTGAAATGGAAACAGAAAAGAGGTAGGCCAAAGAAAACATTACGTCGAGAAACAGGAACAGATATGAAAAGGATGAATAACAACTGGAAAAAATGGAAATCATTACCTATAATAGTTTAGCATGAAGAATGTTGGTCAACAGCCTATGCTCCTTGACGACAGGTAATAGTCATAAGTAAGTAAGTAAGTGTTGAAGTAAGTAAGTAAGTAAGTAAGTAAGTAAGTAAGTAAGTAAGTAAGTAAGTAAGTAAGTAAGTAAGTAAGTAAGTAAGTAAGTAAGTAAGTAAGTAAGTAAGTAAGTAAGTAAGTAAGTAAGTAAGTAAGTAAGTAAGTAAGTAAGTAAGTAAGTAAGTAAGTAAGTAAGTAAGTAAGTAAGTAAGTAAGTAAGTAAGTAAGTAAGTAAGTAAGTAAGTAAGTAAGTAAGTAAGTAAGTAAGTAAGTAAGTAAGTAAGTAAGTAAGTAAGTAAGTAAGTAAGTAAGTAAGTAAGTAAGTAAGTAAGTAAGTAAGTAAGTAAGTAAGTAAGTAAGTAAGTAAGTAAGTAAGTAAGTAAGTAAGTAAGTAAGTAAGTAAGTAAGTAAGTAAGTAAGTAAGTAAGTAAGTAAGTAAGTAAGTAAGTAAGTAAGTAAGTAAGTAAGTAAGTAAGTAAGTAAGTAAGTAAGTAAGTAGTAAGTAAGTAAGTAAGTAAGTAAGTAAGTAAGTAAGTAAGTAAGTAAGTAAGTAAGTAAGTAAGTAAGTAAGTAAGTAAGTAAGTAAGTAAGTAAGTAAGTAAGTAAGTAAGTAAGTAAGTAAGTAAGTAAGTAAGTAAGTAAGTAAGTAAGTAAGTAAGTAAGTAAGTAAGTAAGTAAGTAAGTAAGTAAGTAAGTAAGTAAGTAAGTAAGTAAGTAAGTAAGTAAGTAAGTAAGTAAGTAAGTAAGTAAGTAAGTAAGTAAGTAAGTAAGTAAGTAAGTAAGTAAGTAAGTAAGTAAGTAAGTAAGTAAGTAAGTAAGTAAGTAAGTAAGTAAGTAAGTAAGTAAGTAAGTAAGTAAGTAAGTAAGTAAGTAAGTAAGTAAGTAAGTAAGTAAGTAAGTAAGTAAGTAAGTAAGTAAGTAAGTAAGTAAGTAAGTAAGTAAGTAAGTAAGTAAGTAAGTAAGTAAGTAAGTAAGTAAGTAAGTAAGTAAGTAAGTAAGTAAGTAAGTAAGTAAGTAAGTAAGTAAGTAAGTAAGTAAGTAAGTAAGTAAGTAAGTAAGTAAGTAAGTAAGTAAGTAAGTAAGTAAGTAAGTAAGTAAGTAAGTAAGTAGGTAACCAGTTAAATACTAGTTTGTACATTAGATTTTAATCTTTCCTTATTTTTTTTCAAAATAGAAAACTATTGATTTCAACAAGAATTCAGCAAATTTATCATTTTAATTTTATTTCCACATAACAACTACAAAAATATCTATATAGTAACTCATTTTAAAATCAATACTCAATCATGATAGTTTTTTGTGTAAAGTTTATCTATCATATAGTAAGTATATTCAAACTATTGATTCCATCTATCATTTGTTTAAAATCATCATCGAATTGTTTCTCCATATTTTGAATTAGATCATTGACATTTTTTGTATCTACTCAATATTGAATTAGACAAACAAACAAAATTAATTTTACCAATTTCAAATTGAAAAATATCATGTAAATCATTGAGAGTAATTGAACCAACTTTTTCAGCGGGAATTTCACTATTTAAATTTAAAATTGGAAAATTATTCTAAAAAAAGAAAAAAAATTATTATTTTTTCAATAAAATTTATTCTTTTTATTTTTTTAATTTATTTTTTGAGTTATCACTAACTTTGGTGGAGTTTTGTTCTCTGAGCTGGATGGTTTGGTCGTGGAGCTTTCATCGTTCTTCTGAACGACATCATCAGCACAAACTTCAAATAGAAGTTCTGTTTGAAGTTTGTGCTGATGATGTCGTTCAGAAGAACGATGAAAGCTCCACGACCAAACCATCCAGCTCAGAGAACAAAACTAAACCAAAATCATCCACTTGAGATACAAATCTTCTCCACCATCTCGTTATCACTAACTATATTATAAGATTGTAGAAATTCATGTAGATCTTTTGGAAACCAGCTTTGATTCATTTGGATTTGATGAAATGTTTTATAGAAATCAATGAAAAACTTTGTTTCTTCGTTTTCTTTTTCTTCTTCTTCTTCTTCTTCGTCATTTTCATCGATATTCGTATTTTGTTTCTGTTTTTTGGTAATTGGTAATTTGTTCAATTCATATATGAAATGTTTCCTGAACATAATTAAGAAGAGATAATTATTCATTTGTTGTTGCTGCCGTTTTGACTTTTAATATAAATTCATAGAAAGTTATTAACAGTGTAAGGTTATGGAGATTGATCTCAATCAAAAACTTAATAATCTTCACAACTCTATACTGATAATTACTATGTGCTCACTAGTGACTGGATTCGTGAAGGAATTCTCAGAGTTCGAGTAAGAAGCTGTGACCAGTGAAGATCATCCGTGTCGGGTAGAAACAGGCATCTACCTCAATATAATGAAATACGGTCGCGCAATTACGTGGATTAGTTGAAGTTAGACATCAACATCATTGAATGCCAGTCGGCTAAATAGTCTAGTGGTTAAATGTTCACGCGCAAAACCAACAGGTCCTCGATTCGAAACTCGTGACACGGCACTGTGGATGCGCATTGTTGAGGAGTCTCACAGTAGGACGAAACGGCCATCCAATGCCTCTAGGTTTTCCATCATGATCTAGCTTCAATCAATTCATGATCTCAACTATTACAATTACAATAATAAATTTATCATGAAAAATTAGAAAAACTGTTAGACTGTTAGTGATTACTTTTATTTCTTTTTTATAATTTCTACAACGTGAGTAAATCAAATAAATTCACATTAAAAAAAAAATCAATGTTTCTCTTTTTCTCTCATTATTCTTGTTTATTGTTTTCTAGTTAGATTACATATGTATGCATATACATGATTTGCCTACATCATCATTATTTCAGTAATGGTGAACATGATTATAGTTTCCATGAAAAAGATTAGAAAATGTTTTGAATGTTTAATCAATCACTAAGTGATCATTAAATGATATTAATCGATGCGCACTGCTGAGGAGTCCCACAATAGGATGATATGGCCGTCCAATGCTTCTAAGTTTTCCATAGTGGTCTATCTTTAATTGACTCATTATCTCAACTATTAGAAAACTACTATAATATTTACAAAACCCCTTCTGATATTAATTTTCATTCAGTTAATGTAGATTAAATATTTTTATCATGTACAGATGTTAAAAATTAGTAAACATTATCAATTTTGGTAGACAAATAACATCATGTAGTTGTTGACTGGGCCTTAGATAAACAATCGAAATCTAGTGAAAGTTTTCAAAGTTTATCGCTTTTGTCAACCCGAAGTTGTTAAATGAATTGACATATAATGAAGTTAAGAAAACTGTTAAAATTTGTAACAATCTACATCATGAAGTTATTATGGTTAGAAAACCATTGAAAATCAAGACAAACTGAACAGCTATGATGTAGAGTTACAAAATTGACATTTATAAATCTTAGTCAAAATTAGAAAATTTACTATTAAATATTACACAACTGAAGTGATTTCAGCTAAACAACTAAAAAATTTAAGAATCACCAGATCACTGAGTTGCGATCTAGTGATTCGAATTACTGAGTGAGATCTCCGGTATAGTCATGGATGTGCATGAATATCTAGCCTTAAAATAGAACAAAAAGGCTTCCTGTCGCTGCTTGATTCTAAACGATTTTATAACTTAAATTGGTTGATATTGTAAACTGTCTTAGGATTAGACAATTTTAGTAAATATGTATGATAATATATTAATAAACCTAGTAAAACTACTTTGAAAAAGTGGGAAAATGATTAAAAGCAAACATGAACTAACTTGAAGCGATAAGTTAACATGACATGAAAATGTATTAGTTTTAAATCGAAAAATTACGATCCTATGAGCACTTCAGGTTGAATGAGAATACTTTAGATGTACAATTTGGTTTTATTAATATATATCTCTCTTAATTTTTAACCCAATATATTCATATACATGTACGTATTACGGCTATTTTTACTGTCATTTAGTATCTATCTTTATATGCCGTTTTAGATCATGTGTGACGCCATAGGTGTGGAATCTTATCATCTGCTTCTACTTTCGGAATACATGAAGAAAAGATACTTTGTCAACACGGGATGCTTTCTTTCTCAGTGAAAAGCCAATCAAGACCTTTCTTGTGTTAAAACGCATTGGATAACTTTGTTGTCATATCCGGAAGTAATTAATGACTCCTTTATTCATATCACTAGTAAGTTAACATCGGGGACTTTTAGATTTATAGAACCACGCTACTATGCTATGCCACTAAACGATCCCGTGGAGTGGACTCAAGCTAGCCAATGAAAAATCTTCAGCATATTTACAGCTGTAGATATTCTTAGATAAATAGCAGAAATCAAATAACCGATGGGATTTCCTATTGAGTTTTGGTAAGTAAATCAACTTATCATAACCAACCTCAATCAAGGTTTTAAAGTTTCGTAGTTTATTTTTCTTACTAAACGTAGCATAACTATGAAGTAAATAAAAGTTCCAACAAATTATGCTTTTGAATCTACATAATTTCAACGCACTGGACAATATTGTCGGAGAAACGGCAAAAATCTTGATACATAAAAGGTAATAAGGTTACTTAAATGATTTGTCTGTCATCTCTCATGACTTTTCAACATTTTAGGTTTGCCAACCCACTAAAATTTACATTTTAAGACTGTTAATGGAATCTCCTCACACAGTGTTGTTTTTCTTATGGACACAACCGTTCGAGTTGTCTCTGAGTATCCAACTTACACAGTCGGTCCGACAGAGGTACTTCTGAAATTCTAAAAAAGAATACTAACTCAGAATAAATTGCCATGCAATCTAAAAGCGAATCATGCACTCAATTTAGAGTGACTCGCGTTCTAGTTGCTCGTCCCCTTCTGAATGGATCACAGGCTAAGACAATATATCCTTAGCTTATGTAGTGTTTTTGACTTAAGTATAATCTTTTAGAAGCTTATTTATTCTACGACCTAACCAAAGCACACTGGACTTGTGATTTATAAGAATTAGGAACAAGATAAGAAACTTTCTAGTTGGCAGTAAGCAAAATGGCTTAAGTTATCAAAGTACGACTTTAGTTGGGCCACGTTAAACATGAGGTTTAATTTTCGTCATAATCCGGAATTTATCCGAAAGTACGGATCATATTTTTGGAGTTAATGCAGAAGAGTGTAGAAATTTCGAAATTGACGTTAGGTTGAAGTAATTAATTAAATAGGCTGAGCGCTAGTGTTTAGAAAATTTATTGGAGCATTGTACGTCATACATACTACCACTTAGAAGCATTTTAACTACTACAAACGAAGCAACTGTGTTTTATCTTGTTAAACCAATAATATTCAGAGTATTACTGTTTTAAATTAGTTTAAAAACCCATTCACGTTAAAGACACTTGGTAAGAAATTTACTCAACATGATCAACCAGATATTTTATCGATGGATAGCCTTTAAAACTGCAGGACGTGAGGCTAAGTAAAGTAAAAAATTAAATTAAAGCAGACATAAGATACCATAACCAATTTCCTTGTTCCTTCAACATCCTAATTAATCTCATTCAACTTATCCACTTCGAACACGTAATATGCACACGAACAAAAGTGTTATTCTCAAAGAGTCCGTATCTGCTTGTTTTACGGAATTTTAAAGCTCAAATATACAAACGGTTCTCCACATTTAATATCGCTAGAATTCGAATAACCTATGTATTCGGATGATTATGATGAGTGGTATGTATGAAATGTAATTTTAACGCACACTGAATATGTATGATAAAAACTACAAACGTCTGGAAAGGCGAGGAAACAGCTGTTACTTAGCGATTTCACATACATGAATTCTTAAAAACAACTTTTTAGTTTCTATGACAGTCGTTGGAAGGGGAGGATTAAAACAAAATTAGATACTGGATAATCTTCTGGACCGAGGAAATGTAGTTCCATAAAAAAACATCTCCCTTGATCACTAAATTACATAATAATCTTTAATTTCTAGTGTACCAAATGTTAAGAGCTAGGTCCAAATTAAATGACATCTATAGTCTTCAGTCTTCAGTAATAAGGATAGTAGGTTGGTGAACCAGTATTAATCCTGGCAGATTGCATTCCAGTGAAATTCCAGCTTCTCTTTGAAAATATCCACTGATAGCGCTATACCACTTGTACGGATAAGGCGTTCCAATCATTGACTACTCGATGAGAAAAACGGGACTCCACTTTAAGTTTATTAGATCGTGGTTTGTGAACCTTCTTGCTATGACCTCGGAGATTATTAGTGCTGGAGGGAGAAAAACGATAAGACATATTAACGCCTAAATAATAATTAAAGATACAAATTGTCAGTATAATGTCGCCTCGCGTCCTACAATACGAAGAGTGGAAAAGGCCCATCGTAAGGAAGTTTAGAAAGACCCTTCACTAATTTTGTTCCCATACGCTGAACACACTCAAGTGAGTTAGTATCCTTTATCAGACATGGGCCAGCTACTTGGATACAGTACTCTAGGTTTGATTTTACATGGGTCGGATATAAAATTCGAAACATTTCCTCGTCAAAAGATTTGAACGCTCGGTGAAGTGACCATAACTCATGAAAATCTTTGACAGCAGCTGCGTTGCAATGCGTAGTTGTTTTTAAGTCATGAATTATTGTTACTCTTAAGTCTTTATGTTCTTGAACGCATGGAAGAGGTGTAGAATTATGGTCTATTATGATACTAGTACTGCTATAATAATAGACCTAATCCTATAATTGTAGGTTTGTCATGATATAACTGCCTAATCTGGTTCCCGCGGGTTCGAATCCTCCCGTCGCCAATTTGTTATGTTTCGTTATTGCTTGAATGCGATTACTGATGCGTCTTACTCGAAACGGAACGAAGGATCAATGATTCAGCGACTCGATAGACTATTCTGGTCCGTTGTCCCCAACTCTGCTAACTCGATCAAGAAGTCTGGGTAAGGTGTAGAAAGTGTATTCTACAGACAAACAGCAGATAACAAGTCAGGCAGGCAGATCAGATCAAGCATAATTTATACAATTATTTACAATCGATAGAAAATTTTTAAACATTAATCAATGAGTTCATTAATTGACCTATTTGCGCATTTAATCGATAGTTCATCAATTGACCATAAAATTTAAATATGAGTTTGGGGATCTATCGTCCCCACACTGCCTAATCTATAAGA